CTAGGGATGCTTCCAGTCAAATATGGTTGATATCCACTTCTTAGTTCCAGAGAAGAAGTCGCTTAAAGCAGTATAGCCAAATACCCTTTTTGGCCCTGCCCCTCAGCCCCCTGGGGGGTCAGCCACACCATTTGTACAATTTTAAATCCCTGCCTCCCAGGAATGCTTTTGATCAAATATGATTGATATCCAGTGCACAGTTCTTCAGAAGAAGTCGTTTGTAGCAATATAGCCAAATTGCCCCCTTTTGGCTCCGCCCCTAAGCCCCCTGGGGGGTCAGCCCAACCATTTGTACAATTTTTAATCACCATCACCTAGGGATGCTTCCAGTCAAATATGGTTGATATCCACTTCTTAGTTTCAGAGAAGAAGTCGCTTAAAGCAATATGGGCAAATTGGCCCCTTTTGGCCCCGCCCCTCAGCCCCCTGGGGGGTCAGCCCCACCATTTGTACAATTTTGAATCCCCACCACCTAGGGATGCTTCCAGTCAAATTTAGTTTAATTCCAACCAGTGGTTAAGAAGAAGAAGTCGTTTAAAGAAATTGTTGACGTACGGAAGAACGGACGGACGACGGACGCCACGGTATGGCTGAGCTGGACCAGGTGAGCTAATAATCTAGTTATCTGAAAGAGGCTGGATGTATAATACGCTAGTTATCTGGAAGAAGCTGGATGTATAATAATATAGTTATCTGAAAGAAGCTGGATGTATAATACTCTAGTTATCTGAAAGAAGCTGGATATATAATAATCTAGTTATCTGAAAGAAGCTGGATGTATAATAATCTAGTTATCTGAAAGAAGCTGGATGTATATTAATCTAGTTATCTGAAAGAAGCTGGATGTATTGTCAGCGAATGTGGGCAGCCATGTTAATTCTACAGAACAGGTGTTGACTGTAACTGACACACGTTCATCCACAGTAGTTCAGTCACTCATTATCTGACAAACACACGTTCATCCATACTAGTTCAGTCGCTCATTATCTGACTGACACACGTTTATCCATACTAGTTCAGTCACTCATCATCTGACTGACACACGTTCATCCAGACTAGTTCAGTCATTCATTATTTGACTTATACACACGTTCATCCACAGTAGTGCAGTCACTCATTATCTGACTGACCCATGTTCATCCATACTAGTTCAGTCATTCATCATTTGACTGATACACACGTTCATCCACAGCAGTTCAGTCACTCATTATCTGACTGATACACGTTCATCCACAGTAGTTCAGTCACTCATTATCTGACTGACACACGTTCATCCTACTAGTTCAGTCACTCATTGTCTGACTGACACACGTTCATCCATACTAGTTCAGTCATTCATTATTTGACTGATACACACGTTCATCCACAGTAGTTCAGTCACTCCTTATCTGACTGACACACGTTCATACTACTAGTTCAGTCACTCATTATATGACTGACACACGTTCATCCACGGTAGTTCAGTCACTCATTATCGGACAGACACACGTTCATCCATTCTAGTTCAGTCACTTATTATCTGACTGACACACGTTCAGCCACGCTAGTTCAGTCACTCATTATCTTACTGACACACGTTCATCCACAGAAGTTCAGTCACTCATTATCTGACAGACACACGTTCATCTATACTAGTTCAGTCACTCATTATCTGACTGACATACGTTCATCCATACTAGTTCAGTCAGTCATTATCTGACTGACACATGTTCATCCATACTAGTTCAGTCACTAATTATCTGACTGACACACGTTCATCCATACTAGTTCAGTCACTCATTATCTGACTGACACATGTTCAGTCTTTTATTATCTGGGCCGTTGATTTCCATTAGGATATCCAGAATTGAACAAGAACACAACAAAAAAAGACTTTTAGCCATTTGTAAATTTTAATAACATGATCTACACAATGAAATATTGTCAATATGTCATTTCCACAACGGACTGTGATAAATTATTCTGTATACCCTTTAGTAACGTTAAAAACTTTTCAGAATATGGACATATATTATTGTTTGAACTATATCAGTAATTCACTGGTGATAAGCCCAACGTCACTGTGCCCAAATCGGGACACTTTTGAGATAAATATTAATGTTCTTTATACCATACTATCAGTTCCAAAAATATTTGTTCATTTTTCATAAATTGATACTATCCACTTTTCATTTCTATTACAAGTTGATATTTTGGGCGCATAGTTCTATAAATAAAACGTGAAATACCACCAGGGTTACATAGGCCCTTGAACTGGCGTAACTGTACCGTGAAAGGGACACTTCAGTATTTTGCCTAATATTTGGGTATAAACGATCAATATCAACAGAAAAGAAGACGTATTTCAAATATTCTAAGAGTCAAATAAGGTTATGATTAAATTTCTTCTCCAAACTAGCATTAGTTTTAATAAAATAGACTTTTGAAAGTGATATTCAAATAAATAGCGTCACACGGCACGGAAATCGGGAAAGTTTTGTTTTGGTCATTATTCTTACCTTTAAATTTTCCTTGTAATGATAATCAGCAGCCAATAAAGCTTACATACAGTTAAATTATCATAAAAGTATTATCAAATGAAAACTATATACAAAAAAGTACTTCTTTGCATTGAATTACAGTTTGTTGTGCCGTTTTCCCATAAGTGTCCCGTTTTGGGTTATCTAACTTGAGTTTTATTTTGGAAATTTTATAAAGATACAAGGTTTACAGAGTGTTTTTCACAGTTTAAAAATTAACTAACAAGAGTTAGATAAACAAAATAATCAAACATCATGAGTTTGAGGACCTTTTTCTCCCACAACGTTCAAATATTTTAGCTAAAAAAGACATGTTTCTCCTGGGAATACATTATTCCTGTTCCTATTTGGGAAAAGTTTTGCCATGAACTACGACGTCACAATGGAAAATGACATCCCAAAGCATTGTTACTTGAGGTCATCACAGGGACCTGATAATTTGTTACAGCTATATTTGGACCTTATCTATAAGTTCACAGTAATTTTACACGGTTTAGGGGTTTAGATGGACTTTTGGCGTACATATAATCATTGGGGGTGTCAATTTTACCGAAAGTCGATCTAAACCCCCAAAACATGTAAAATTACTCTGAACACCTTAGTTTAGGTCCAAATATAGCTATATCAAATTATCAGGTCCTTGTGGTCATAATTAGAAGATTGACCAATAAAATAATGTCCTGAATGTCACCAGAAATGTATACAACCACTAGCAGGTTTGTCATACGAGTCCAAAGGTTGTTGTGGGAGAAAATAGGCTGTTTTTAACATTATAACAATTTAAAATGATTCCTTGAAGTAATGATGAACAAATACATTTTACCCATTTTGCTTATATAAGCTTTAATCCACAGCCGTTTATTGCTTTCTTCATGCGACTACTTGTCAGTAGATCACATGACACAAGACGGCCAGCGTTATGTTACAGAATGTTCCTATATATGTGGGGGGGATTCAGTGTAAAGAACAAATACTTTTACCACAGGGAGTAACCGCCCGAACAAAGCAGCAAGAAGCTGCCAAAAGCTTGTGTAAGGGGGATGAGGTATCCTGACAATTTATCTATTCACCCCAATGTAAGTGAGGTATCCTGACAATTAATCTATTCACCCCAATGTAAGTGAGGTATCCTGACAATTAATCTATTCACCCCAATGTAAGTGAGGTATCCTGACAATTAATCTATTCACCCCAATGTAAGTGAGGTATCCTGACAATTAATCTATTCACCCCAATGTAAGTGAGGTATCCTGACAATTAATCTATTCACCCCAATGTAAGTGAGGTATCCTGACAATTAATCTATTCACCCCAATGTAAGTGAGGTATCCTGACAATTAATCTATTCACCCCAATGTTTCAAGAACAGTAACAACCTAGTACATATAACATTTCCCCCATTATCTTGCAAAAAAGTGTTTGAATAAACAAGAGATCCCATTGTGATCTTGAGGACCACCAACACTAGATCTTCATTAGTTCTACATGTATATAAGTTTGATCTTTTCCCTTCATTTCTCTATTTTGTTTGACTGAAAGTCTTGTCAATAGTAAATGAAGCATGTAGAAACTTCGGATGAAAAATGTATACAGCTGGGTTTTGGAGATTTCCTCCATTATGAGGTCATTATTTTTTTCTAGAGAAATAGTGATAACAAACATAAACTGTTGAAACCCAAGATAGCTAACTGACTCCATCAGTAACAAAATGAAACCTGCACAACTATGGATTATGGGGAACCTACATAACAAATATGAGAAAGACTTGAACTTCTTGTAAAATAGCAACAACAAACTTGACGGATGACCGACCCTGAATGAAGGGCGATTTGATCAGCCACCATCTGATGATGATACAGGACTAAATATATCATGACCAGTGTGCAATGGTCTCTGCTTAATGATTAAGAGGTACAGTACTGAATCTCCATACACAAGTTATTTTGTGAAAATCAGAAATTACAACAGAAATTAACTCATTCACCCCTGAAATTTCATCATGAACTATTCAAACAGTTGTATTGAAAGAGTTCAAATGTGTCTTCAGGGGTGAACAAGTTAAATTAGTAGTAAACAGGCAAGCATCTTAATAGAAGGCTAGATATACATATATATATATATATAAGAAAAACAAAAGACAACAAGTTTCTTCATCTTCCCTAGCGCTTTCTCCCCTTTAGAGTTTCATCAGTGTTTTTAAGAAACGAGAAAGTTTGTAAAATGTTGTTTTATATACATATAAAACAAAACACGAAGACTACAATTTGCTAGCACTTTCGCCCATCTTGGGGCTCTTCAGGCGATTTCACTGATGATGCATATATGTCAAACTGACATTCATGCCTCCCTTCTCCTCTGAAAATTAATGAGTGAAATACAATATCATTCATACTTGTTCATTAAAAAAAAAAAAAACATTTTTTTTCTCTTAAAACAAATTAATTAAGCAATGTGCAATGTAAAATTGGAAACATTTATTTGTCCTTTTATCTGTAAGTAAAGATAATTTTTCACCAGAAAATAGAACTAATAATTCAAAGCACATAGAATAATGCATTTAACGACTAAAGAACATGGATCTGGGAAACTGACAGTAAAATATCTCACGAAGGAATATAGATCTAACTTTAACATTATGTTTTAGCACAGAAAATACAAGTAGATATGTTTGTTGAAAAATACATGGTCAACAATCCTATAATCAACATTGTATGCACCATGTCATTGCTGTGATCAATTACACAAGTAATGTCAAAACTCTTTGTAAAATGTTGATATAAATAATCATCCATTCTCTTCCTCACATACACTCTCTTAACAACATGCATCCATGAACTTGACACTCTCTTGGTCGTTCTTATTCATGACTGCTTCCTAGTCTTTTTTGAATGAAGACGTTGTTGGAGTTCCTTCTGTGAAGGCCTTATACACAAACAGTCCCAATATTATGTGCACTACTGTAATGGCGACAAAGGCTGCGTAGAAATAGCTGTTTTGACTCGTCATCCCTAAGTATGCTGCAAACACAAAACACATGTTAAAATTATTGCAAAACAAGAGGCCCAATGGGTCTGCATCACCCAACTGGTATTAATCTCAAAATTGTAACCTTAAAAGTGGACTAAAATGAAGCTACATGGAAAATATCAATATTTGTGACTATAAATAATGTTAAGAAGATTTAACCACATTGACCCCTGTGACTTTGAGAGTTGAACAAGGTCATTACGTTAAACAAACTTTATAGCTCTTCATCCCATAATGCAACTTGCCAAGTATCACCACTGACACGACACCATCTACATTTGTTTATTGAGAAGATGTCTTTTAAAAGTTTATACACAATTGACCAGATGTGACCTTGAAAGTGTGTCAAGGTCATTCACATGAACATACTTTGTAACCTTTCATCCCAGCATGCTATTATCTGATATCATCATCCTAGCATTTTCTTTTATTTAGGAGAATCAGTCATTATAGTTTTTGACATATTTGACCCATGTGACCTTGAATATGGGTGAAGGTCATTATTCAGAAGTTGTTTAAAGATTTTAAACATATTAGACCTCTGTGACCTTGATTATGCATCAAGGGCATCATTTTGACTAACTTGGTAGCCCTTATTTCATCCCAGCATACTACTTTCCAAAATATGAACACCCTATGCCTCTTGGTTATTCAAAAGAAGTTGTTCAGTTTTTAAACTTATTTGACCTCTGTGACCTTGAATTTCAGTCAAGGTTTTTGATTTAAACAAATTTCATAGACCTTCATCCCAGCATGTTACTGGCCAAATATCATGACCTTAGGCTTCTTGGTTATTCAGGGGGAGTCTTTTATATAGGTTTAAAACATATTTGACCCAAGTGACCTTGAATATAAGTTGAGGTCATTCATTTAAACAGATGTTGTAGCCCTTCATCCCAGCATATCACTGACCAAATATCAACATCATGGGACTTTTGGTCCGTCAGAGGAAGTCTTTTATAGGTTTTTAACATATTTGACCCAAGTGACCTTGAATATGCGTTAAGGTTATTCATGTGAGCAAACTTTGAAGACCTTCATCCCAGCAAATCACCAGCTGTCAAATATCAAAATGCTTGGCCAAATATCATCACCCTATGCCTTTTTGTTATTAAGAAGAGTGAGCTAAAAACACAAGTGAGAAGGGACATTGGCACCAGCATCTTTGGAGTTACACTATGGATAATGATAAAGCCATAAACATTCCTCATGCCAGCATAATCAAGAGCTCACACTTAGTTATTTGCTGACTATACACCAGGCTGATAGACAGTACTGGTATCTGTACTTTAGGTACGTATTAAAAATCTAAACCAGTCTATTTTACCACTGCTGCACTGTTCATTTTTCACAGATCAGGCTCGTTTCTGACATAAAAATATTCAATGGTTCAGAAAAGGTAAATGATATTGGGATTAGAACCCTTTCACTTTGTAGATCTTGTAGCGGTATTACTTAATGTGAAGCTTTTCCCTTAATGTGAAGCTTTTCCTTTAAAATTAAATTTGTATTACTGTACCTTCAAAGAAAAAACTTTTTGTGAAAAAGTACGAGAATACTGGTAGGGAAAGCATGGCCACACTAAATAAGATCATGGTCTTCATCACACTCTGATTCTGTTCTTCTGTTTGCCCCATCATCCTGGAAAAAAAAAATAAAAAAAATAGAATACCCTGTTACTACCATTCATCAACAACATGTACTCTTCCATCTAAATTCAGTTACATCAGCAGAAGCGGTTTGTTTTGACTGGAATCAGTTTCACAATTATATGTAAAATCATGAAACAAGCTTGCCTGCATCAGCACTGACCCATTAACTTACCTTGGTACATCAACACTGACCCATTAACTTACCTTGGTACGTCAGCACTGACCCATTAACTTACCTTGGTACATCAGCACTGACCCATTAACTTACCTTGGTACATCAGCACTGACCCATTAACTTACCTTGGTAAGTTTATTTACCGATACAGGATCTATTTAATATACCGGACTCAAAATCATACCACTGTATATGTAACAATGGATAAATGTGACGTTACTTGTATCATTAACGTAATGTATAATTATATAGGAGTTCCTGGTATATTTATGCACAAATTGTCCGTCATAGATGACTACAACGGCCGCACATCATGATTACTACCCCTTATGCAGATAATAAATGCTGTAAATGATGTGAAAATAGATAAGTTTGAGAGTTTTGCGAGGCTATAACTAGTGTTGTCCCGATGATCAATTAAAATCGAAAACTAATCGGTGACACAACCAATTGCGATTAATCAATTATGAAATCCCATAATCAATTAATCGGTTGAAATTATTGCATGCCGTTTTCTATTGCTATCTGATTAGCATCCACCTAAAAAACTACTTATACTTTGGTTAGGAGGTAAATTTTCCTAACAAATATGTCTTTTGGCCAAGTTGGAGCCTAAAGTTCAAAGTGTATAAAATGGTTTTTAGTAGCAGGTGCACTCAAGTCAACCCTTGATTTTAAATTTACATTGCAAACCAATACAATTTGGATTACCTCGCTAACCGATTAATAATCGAAAATCGATCAAAAAACTTGCACCGATTACAGCTGATCATTGATTATGGAATAAAAACCGATTCCCAACACTACCTATAACTACATCACCTATAGCCAAAATTGACCAATAATCAGACATTCCAAAATGTGGATAAGTAGGCCTAGCTAGGCTACGAACTATCACTAGATAGAAAATTATACGTTTATTGTAAAATAAATGTGTTCAAACTTCCCGCTGATTCCTAATAACTGGAGGTTTACTGTATACCATACGTCAGTATAATTACTCAATTAAATTGTATACACGGAACGCATCCTCAAAGCTGACATAGAGACTAGTTCTAATGAGTTGCCACATTTAATCTCTCTTTTCTTGGACACACATGGGTTAATGAAGAAAGCATTCTTATTTGTCAAATCTAGAACTGTGATTTCTGGGTAAAAAAGACTATCCAATCTGAATCTTTTTTTCATTATATAAGTAAACTCTGGTTAATCTGGACTCTATAATAATAATTTGAGGTTCTTATATACCACTTTATCACAACCTAGTTCGTAGGTCATCACAACCTAGTTCGTAGGTTGTCTCAAAGCGGTTCACAAATTATTATCCTTGAATATAGGGCCTTTGCAACCAGCCAATCTTTCTCAACTCCCTGAGGACCATACAGCCGGAGCTGCCATTTCGGCGCTAACAGCTAGGCCCAACCACATACTCATTTACAGCTGAGAAGACCTATATAGATTTTAATTTCTGTAAACTGGCCTTGTTTTTCAATTGTTCCCATGTGTTCTACACACAAGTAAATCTACTCGCTGTAAACCAGTGTCAGATTTCTTTCTAGTGCAGGTGTTTTTACCGTCCTTATTACACTATATAAGAAAGTTAACGATTGACCAGTTCTTGTCACCTTACACAGGTTAGATACATCAGGTTAAATCCTGAGCACTTGTTTCTTATAATGAGACAGTCATTATGTAAAATCATTTTCCTTAATGACATGTTATGTGTTTGTTCTGCTTATATCAGTGATGAAGAATGACATACTAATTTATCTATCTTTTCCTTATTACTGTCAATGAAATGACTAAATTATTGCAGTATTATGATTGATTAATAAACACGAGTACAATTACATACATAAACAAATGTAATAGTATATATTTTACCAGTTTAATAAGAATCTAGGCCCGTGTTGAACAATAAAATGAAAGTCGCACGTGACTGATGCCACAGGGATCAGAGAATTCAGAAGAAACAAGTCAGAAAAAAGGTAGAGAAAAAATACAGATTAAGTGTAATTTCAAATGTTTTACATACATATGTGACAATCACACTAATGCTGTGTGTGTATCTCTAACACGTCTACATTAATAACACAAAACACCGATTAGAAAGACCACGGAATTATCTAAGTCCGTGGAAAGACTAAACAAAAACTTCGCCTAATTCCCCGTCCCTGTGACTGAAGCGTAATGACGATGCCTCTGTCGTCAGGATCTGAGATAATAATTCTGCATTACAGCTGGCGCAGAGACTTCTTTTAACGATTGGCAATAATCCGGCTACATAGTTAAGTCAAGTTATTACTATTTAGTAGTTAGAAGTCTAGTTAGGCCTATAATGGTATAGTAAAACTCGCACCTGCTTCTAAGATCGTCTGCCATTGCGTTTGAAAGAATGCAGCAAAACAAACGGCGACTGCCGATTGGTCAAAATTAAAATATGAATCTAATATGTTCATCTTTTGTAACAAAATAATCTGTTAACTCTGATAACGATTCTAGTGGTGACTGTTAAGTAATCATATTTCGGCCAGTTAAACAATTGTAATTGTAAAACATTTCCTCGAACTAACATCCGGCTGAACTTTGAACTACCACTTCCGTGTTTTGGGGGAGGCACATGACAGACGAAATATGTCGTTTTAACGAGTGTTTCTGTTTACACATGACGAGAACGACGAATTTGCGTTTGAAATCTCCATGAAATATGTCATTACTTAATATATAGAGTTATATGGAAATAATTGTGAAAATCTCAACAGTTTCAATATGTCCATTATTCAAGTGAAGGGAAGCGGGGGCAGTGTAGCAGTGGACAGATCACCGTTTTATGGTGGGAGAGTGCCCCAGGAAATCAAAGCCATCAGCAAACCTATGGCAAAGATTGACAAACAAACTTTTCGTAAATTGTTGCAAAGTAAGTTGATAGGGTTTGAAATAAATTACAGGTCACAATGCGTATAGTTCCTAAATTGACCCAGTGACACCTAGTTCATTCCAGGATTATCATCTGTCAAACCTTCCTACTGGTTCTGGTCACTAATTACTAATCAGCAATGACCTATTGGATATCACGCTGATTGCACATGTGCGGCATGTACTTAATTATGAAATAATGACACTGTCAAAAAATTCATTTAATAAAACTATGTACACCACTGTCTGATAGCCCCAGTTTCCTCTGATCGGTACCACTACACACAAGACTTCGACATTTTGACAGATAGATGTCTGGTGTTGGCATCTATCTGTCAAAATGTCGAAGTCTGGTGTCAGGGCCAGAGGAAACTTGTGCTAAGTGTCGTGACTGTCTGTCTACTTCTGTTTGGTTGACAACCTCGCCTTGAATATACATCCAAGGTAGGTGTTCTGGTCATATCTTAAGAGAAGATATGACCTACCTGCCTTCAAAGGTAATCGTCTGTTTTACCTTCCTTCAAGGAACATCACCCATCATACTTACTTCAATTGTCAACATCTGTCCTCCCCTCCTTCAAGGGTTATCACCTGTCCTACCTTCCTTCAAGGGTCATCACCTGTCCTACCTTCCTTCAAAGATAATCACATGTCCAACCTTCCTTCAAGGGTCATTGCTTGTCCTCCCCTCCTTCAATGGTCATAACCTGTCCTACCTTCTTTCAAGGGTCATCACCTGTCCTACCTTCTTTCAAGGGTCATCACCTGTCCTATTTACCTTCAAAGTTCATCACATGTCCTACCTTCCTTCAAGGGTCATCACATGTCCTACCTTCCTTCAAAGATCATCACATGTCCTACCTTCCTTTAAGGGTCATCACCTGTCCTACCTTCTTTCAAGGGTCATCACATGTCCTACCTTTCTTCAAGGGTCATTACCTGTCCTACCTTCCTTCAAGGGTAATCACCTATCCTACCTTCTTTCATTGCTTGTCCTACCAGCCTTCCAGGGTCATCACCTATCTTACTTTAGTTCAGAGGTCATCACTTGTCCTACCTTCTTTCAAAGGTGATTGCCTGTACTGACCTACCTGTTTTCCAGGGTCATCACCTGTCCTTCATTCCTTCCTTCCTTTCAGTGAGATAATACTTTAAAATCTCCCTGAGTGATCCCATCATTTTGGCCAGGATCCTAATATGTTTTGCTTTCGTAGCTGCAACATCATCAATGAATTGGTCAGAATGATTGTACTTATATATATTTGACCCTAATTAAATTCAAGGTGAAGATGACTGGACAACCTAATTACAAATATAGTAGCTGTAATCCTAGTATGAGAAATATTATATATTTTTTGCTTTTTCTTTAACAATCTTATCATGAAGTATCACACAGACTTGTCAGTTAAGCACAGGTTTTATTTGTAAGTGGTCCTAACACTAAATATGTAGGAATTGTTATTTATATACACTTTAGGACACAGCTATAAATATCTAAATATGTGAAAAATATTTAAATATATTTGCATAAAAGTTTCATCCGTGTGAGGAAAAAGACTTGAATGTTATCGTGTTATCATGTTTTGTTTCAGTGATTGTGTCCTCTATGGAAGGAAAGGAAATTGATTGTGCAGTATTAGAGGAATTAGAACATGACATCTTCACCAAGGAAGTGTTGAGTATAGTTTATACTGGCTTGTACTCCCTACTGAGACGGGCAATTCGACTGCCACTGACATCGTTAAAACCAGAGGTAAACTATGTTACAGGATTTTTATGATTAAGCTAGAAGTAAACTATGTTACAGGATTTCTATGATAAAGCTAGAGGTAAAGTGTGTTATGTGATATCTATGATAAAACCAGAGGTAAGGTGTGTTATGTGATATCTATGATAAAACCAAAGGTAAGGTGTTAAAACCAGAGGTAACGTGTGCTATATGTGATATCTATAATAAAACAAGAGAAAAAGTGTGTTATGTGATATCTGTGATAAAACCAGAGGTAACATGTGCTATATGTGATATCTATGATAAAACCAGAGGTAAAGTGTGTTATGTGATATCTGTGATAAAACCAGAGGTAAGGTGTTAAAATCAGAGGTTGTGTGTTATTTGATATCTGTGATGAAACCAGAGGAAAAGTGTTATGTGATATATATAAAACCAGAAGTAAAGTGTGTTATATGATATCTATGACAAAACCAGAGGTAAAGTGTTTTATGTGATATCTATGATAAAACCAGATGTAAAGTGTGTTATGTGATATCTATGATAAAACCAGAGGTAACGTGTGTTATGTGATATCTATGATAAAACCAGAGGAAAAGTGTGTTATGTGATATCTATGATAAAACCAGAGGTAAAGTGTGTTATGTGATATCTATGATAAGACCAGAGGTAAGGTGTTAAAACCAGAGGTAAGGTGTGGTATGTGATATCTGTGATAAAACCAGAGGTAATGGTGCTATATGTGATATCTATAATAAAACCAGAGGAAAAGTATGTTATGTGATATCTATGATAAAACCAGAGGTAAAGTGTGTTATGTGATATGTATGATAAAACCAGAGGCAAAGTGTATGTGCTATATGTGATATCTATGATAAAACCAGAGATAAGGTGTGTTATGTGATATCTAAGATAAAACCAGAGGTAAGATATGTTATGTGATATCTATGATAAAACCAGATGTTTAGTGTGTTATGTGATATCTATGATAAAACCAGAGGCTAGGTTTGTTATGTGATATCTATGATAAAACCAGAGGTAAAGTGTGCTATGTGATATCTATGATAAAACCAGAGGTAAAGTGTGTTATGTGATAACTATGATAAAACCAGCAGAGGTAAAGTGTGTTATGTGATATGTATGATAAAACCAGAGGCAAAGTGTATGTGCTATATGTGATATCTATGATAAAACCAGAGGTAAAGTGTGTTATGTGATATCTATGATAAAACCAGAGGTAAAATGTATGTGCTATATGTGATATCTATGATAAAACCAGAGGCTAGGTGTGTTATGTGATATCTATGATAAAACCAGAGGTAAAGTGTGTTATGTGATATCTATGATAAAACCAGAGGTAAAGTGTGCTATGTGATATCTATGATAAAACCAGAGGTAAAGTGTGTTATGTGATATCTATGATAAAACCAGCTGAGGTAAAGTGTGTTATGTGATATCCATGATAAAACCAGAGGTAAGGTGTTAAAACCAGAGGTAAAGTGGCTTATGTGATATCTATGATAAAACCAGAGGTAAAGTGTGAAGCATCCCTAGCTAGGTAGTGGGGATTCAAAATTGTACAAATGGTGGGGCTGACCCCCAAGGGGGCTGAGGGGCGGGGCCAAAAGGTTATTTGGATATATTGCTATAATGACTTCTTTTGTAGAACTATACGCTGGATATCAATCGTATTTGGTCAGAAGCATTCATGAGAGGTGGGGATTCAAAATTTTACAAATGGAGGGCTGACCCCCAGGGGGCCAAGGGGCATGACCAAAAAGGGTAATTTGGCTATATTGCTATAAATGGCATCTTCTGTAGAACTAATGCACTGGATATCATGGGAGGCAGGGATTCAAATTGTACAAGTAGTGGGGCAGAGCCCCTTTGGAAATGGTTGAGATCCCCAAGAGAAGAATGCACATATGTTTCCAGGATTGCCCAGGGGTCTGGCCCTACCCTTGGAGACATAGTCCCTGGGTCATAACTTTGAAACGGTTGAGATCCCCACCCCAAAACTGTATATACAAATGCTGGGGATAAAGAGACGATTGCAGTCATGATATTAGAATTGATTTCAGAGTCTGCCCCACCCTTTGAGACCTAACCCATGGGTCATAACTTTAAAACGGTTAAGATCCCTACCCCAAAACTATATATACAATTGTTGGGCATAAAGATACGAATGCAGTCATGATATTATAATTAATCCTGGGGTCTGGCCACAACCCTAGGGACTTAATTTCTGAGTCACACCTTGGAAACAGTTGAGATCCCCACCCCATAACCATACATAATATTGCTGGGTATGAAAAATCTAATACAGATAGGATACAAGGATTGTCCTTGGGGTCTGGCCCATTCCTTTGGATCTTATTTGGAGAATATTTTGCCATGATTACTTTGATATCCAGGTGAGCGCTACAGGCCCTCTGGGCCTCTTGTTAAATGTACATGTATATAGGTGTGTGTGTGTGTGTACAGACTGTAGGTACATGTTTTATTGTAATCTTCTTTGATTTCCAAATCTACAGGTTTGTGAATAAAAACATTGTTTATATAAATATTATATTTTTTTAGAATTTTGTATTTCAAATTTGCAGATGTTCAAGGAGGACATAAAGGAATTAAAGTGAGTATTTCTTCTATTGCTTTAATTCCAAAAAATGACAACAAATGACAGTTTCATTACGCTTAAGGTGACAGCTAAGTAATGCCAATGAGCCTTTTGAATTGTATATTATCATAAATTGTACCTATAACCTACCATTAACTGACACACTAACGGAGCAACTACGGAAATCGCACATCAGAAAGCAGCACCATTTAAATGAAAGGAATTGTCAAAAGCTAAAATTTTATGTGCCACAATTTAAATATCCAATGTTGTGGGAACAACGCCATTGGTGACATCAAAATATCCCAAATTATGGGAACAGTTTTGGGATCAGACGTGTTAAAATTGTTTTATAACTTCTTCTGATTAACCAAGAAATCTAGACCAAGGGTCTTGCTATTTGAGCGTTAGCATGCTGTGATGAATGGCTATGTCAAGTTGGTTCAAATCAATGACAATGACCAATTTCAAAGTTATATGGGTCAAATGTAAATTTTTATCCCCTGCGGTGAAAGCGGGGATATTAATTTGGGTTTGTCCATCTGTCTGTCAATCTGTCACACTTCGTTTCCGTGCAATAACTACAACTCTCGCAAATATAATCCAATTGTCCTCAAACTTAGTAACAGGGTTCAGCGCATTAAGGGCTCGGCCAAGTTTGAAAACCACTTTCATCGGACTCCATTTGGCGGAGTCATTATCTTCAGTTTCTGCTTGATAACTCTAGCAAATGTTTTGATAAGGCTTTTTTTCTTCGAGGTTCAAGCTATACATTATGCCTCAACAGCACGATACTCACATGTTTAAACCTAACCTCAATAATGTTTACCTACAGTATGTCCCAAAAGCGGGGGATATAAATTCCACAACTTTGCTTGTTGAACATATTTTCTGAATATCAAAGAGATTTAGGCTCATGTTGTTTGTCTTGTTTTAAATGTCTCACAAATTTCTCACTAACTCGGAGAAAATCCAAATGTCCAAATCTCACAAATAAAATCATTATTTTGCACCGGAAAGTTATGGCATGTTTGACCTGTAGCTGAAAATATATTAACAAACAAAAAACCCTGATGTTCTGCCTTCAATGGTCTTGTTTTCATTACAGCATTCCTGAAGAGTTCCACAGTGATCTTGCTAGTGTTATCTTTGGTTCAAGGTGAGTCGTCCTCAGGGATGTACGCTATCGCTACTGTGATTTGAGTGTCAACGAGTTCCGTGCTAAAAACATGACTGGTACAAATAATTACTATGTTATATTGAAAGGATACATTGTAGGTCTTTTTAAGACCACACAAGAATGTATGATAATATAATTATAAGTCTCTAGCAGCCCTGAATAAACTGTTGTAGTGTTTATTAGTTCCCCACTGGTTCCTGTCTATATGTCCTTCTGTCGATCCAAAGAGTTAGTCCAAGGTATATTTCGATTTCCTATACTATTTCACCATAAATACACAGGTTAGGAATTTACAAAACAAAGGTCACTGTGACCTATAGTTTGACCTTTGAACTAAACCTTTGGAAACATTTACTGGGACATAGCATTTATACTATTTCAGCTGGAGTAACCAGATGTTGTATGCATGAACATCCTGGGATGATGGAGTGTCAAAAACAAAAAGTAGGTTACCGTGACCTATGCTTTGACATTTGAGCTTATCCTTTTAAAGTGTTCGGGGCACATCTTTTATACTAATTCACCTGGGGTGACCAGATTCAGGTGTGCATGTGTGTCTTGGCTCGTGAAGTATGGGTGTACACGAAGTATGGCAGTGTACCCTATATCTTGAGATAGGTGTCGGCTAGGCAAATAAAGAATTGTTGCTTGTTTGGAACAGTGAAAGAAATTCCTTGTGGAAATCAAGTCAATTCCAGGCAATTCATGTAGTTTTTGCCCGTGCCTATGAAACTATCCTTGTTTGGTGAATCAATAATTCTGTTGTTTTTTGAAGGGGGCCACAGATCACCGCACACTGTCTAGAGAACAGACCACGACTACCCAGATTAGATTGTCTCAAGTGGAGAGTTGATGTAGCCATATCTACCAGGTAGGCCATGATCAATGTTACAATACTTTACTGTAGGTAGTATATTTGTAGCCCTAACCAAACTTCCTCTTCACACACCGTCCTTCCCATGACAATAGATATTATATTTCTCCATAGCAAAATATTTTTTTTGAATAGTTTTTAAAGTTCTTTTCCTTTGGCGACATAACAAGTATTGTATTTCACTATGTTTGTATGCTGATTTCCACTTCACATCTCAGCAATGAAATTAAGCTACCTAAAATATAACTTGGGTGACCGTTTAGGCCCTTGGGCCTCTTGTTTTATTATTATGGGCGCTGATCCTTTAAGGAGACAACTGTATAAATGGCATCCTTATAATCTCTTGATTTTCTTTCAGTGTTTTAAACAGAGTGTTGGAACCAAGTATTCTCATGGAGCTGACTCTTAGTGATGGCAGGATCCACACATTTGAGGTAGGTCTGTCACTGATAACCATATTTTAGGTAGGACTGTCACTGATAAACATATTTGAGGTAGGTCTGTCACTAATAAACATATTTGAGGTCTGTCTGTCACTGATAAACATATTTGAGGTAGGTCTGTCACTGATAACCATATTTTAGGTAGGACTGTTACTGATAAACATATTTGAGGTAGGTCTGTCACTAATAAACATATTTGAGGTAGCACTGTCACTAATAAACATATTTGAGGTAGGTCTGTCACTAATAAACGTATTTGAGGTAGGTCTGTCACTAATTAACATATTTGAGGTAGGTCTGTCACTAATAAACATATTTGAGGTAGTTCTGTCACTGATAAACATATTTGAGGTAGGTCTGTCACTGATTAACATATTTGAGGTAGGTCTGTCACTAATAAACGTATTTGAGGGAGGTCTGTCACTAATTAACATATTTGAGGTAGGTCCGTCACTAATAAACATATTTGAGGTAGGACTGTCACTAATAAACATATTTGAGGTAGGGCTGTCACTGATAAACATATTTGAGGTAGTTCTGTCACTGATAAACATATTTGAGGTAAGGCTGTCACTGATAAACATATTTGAGGTAGGTCTGTCACTGATAAACATATTTGAGGTAGGGCTGTCACTAATAAACATATTTGAGGTAGGACTGTCGCTAATAAACATATTTGAGGTAGGTCTGTCACTGATAATCATATTTACGGTAGGTCTGTCACTGATAAACATATTTTATTTGAGGAAGGTCTGTCACTGATAAACATATTTGAGGTAGGTTTGTCACTAATAAACATATTTGAGGTAGGGCTGTCACTAATAAACATATTTGAGGTAGGTCTGTTAGATAAACATATTTGAGGTAGGGCTGTCACTAATAAACATATTTGAGGTAGGACTGTCGCTAATAAACATATTTGAGGTAGGTCTGTCACTGATAATCATATTTACGGTAGGTCTGTCACTGATAAACATATTTTATTTGAGGTAGGTCTGTCACTGTCACTAATAAACATATTTGAGGTAGGTCTGTTAGATAAACATATTTGAGGTAGGTCTGTCACTGATTAACATATTTGAGGTAGGTCTGTCACTAATAAACATATTTGAAGTAGGACTGTCGCTAATAAACATATTTGAGGTAGGTCTGTCACTGATAAACGTATTTACGGTATGTCTGTCACTAATAAACATATTTGAGGTAGGTCTGTCACTGATAAACGTATTTACGGTATGTCTGTCACTAATAAACATATTTGAGGTAGGTCTGTTAGATAAACATATTTGAGGTAGGGCTGTCACTAATAAACATATTTGAGGTAGGTCTGTTAGATAAACATATTTGAGGTAGGTCTGTCACTAATAAACATATTTGTGGTAGGTCTGTCACTAATAAACATATTTGAGGTAGGGCTGTCACTAATAAACATATTTGAGGTAGGACTGTCACTAATAAACATATTTGAGGTAGGACTGTCTCTAATAAACATATTTGAGGTAGGACTGTCTCTGATAAACATATTTGAGGTAGGTCTGTCACTAATAAACATATTTAAGGTAGTTCTGTCACTGATAAACATATTTGAGGTAGGTCTGTCACTGATAATCATATTTACGGTAGGTCTGTCACTGATAAACATATTTTATTTGAGGTAGGTCTGTCACTGATTAACATATTTGAGGTAGGTCTGTCACTAATAAACATATTTGTGGTAGGTCTGTCACTAATAAACATATGTGAGGTAGGTCTGTCACTGATAAACATATTTGAGGTAAGGCTGTCACTGATAAACATATTTGAGGTAGGTCTGTCACTGATAAACGTATTTACGGTAGGTCTGTCACTAATAAACATATTTGAGGTAGGTCTGTCACTGATAAACATATTTGAGGTAGGTCTGTCACTGATAAACATATTTGAGGTAGGTCTGTCACTGATAAACATATTTTATTTGAGGTAGGTCTGTCACTGATAAACATATTTGAGGTAGGTCTGTCACTAATAAACGTATTTACGGTAGGTCTGTCACTGATTAACAAATTTTATGTCGGACTAGCATTACATGATTAATGCACTAATATTAGCATAGGAAGTCAATTCAGCATTAAGTTATCATAGTATGTGTGTCCTCCATCTGATGCAGACAGATGTGGTACACAATATATATTCAATCTGTAAGTCACAATCCTGAAGGGCAACTAAGCTTTCGTCATGGTGATGTATCCGTCATCTGTCATCTGTCCATCCAACTGGCATCAACTTATTTCTTGAAACAACTTCTTCTAAATAACCAAGAGGCCTAGAGACCGGATATTTCCAGTAGTATGCTGCGAGTAAGGTCCATCATGTTTATTCTAATTAGTGACATTAACCCTCTTTCAAGTTTACAGGGGTCAAATGTGTTAAAATATTTTAACAACTTCTCCTGAAGAGCCTGAGGGTCATGGAATTTGGCATGTATATCTCTATGTTAAAAGTTTGTCCAGTTTGTTCATAAGAATAACCATGACCCATTTTCAAGGTCAAAGGTGTCAAATGTATTAAACTCTTTACATTACTTCTTCATATTGTCCTTAAGTTATAAAGTAGAAACATTTGGCTGGCAAATATCATATTGGGATGAAGGTTTAGGAAGTTTATTTACAACACATATCTTAAACCTTTACTACTTCTTCATTAGGTCTTTAAGGCATAGATTAGAAACATTTGGCTGGCAGCTTGATATAATAATACAGGTTTGTTCAAATAAATGATCTTGACCTACTTTAAATGTTGCATGATAAAAGGTAAAGAGTCATGATAGCAGTGTAGTATATTAAAAAGGAGTGGAATACTGTATCAGTGGAGATTGTTGAAATGTTTACATTGCGATTCTTTAAACTGGCCGCTAGGGGTTGACATCTTCATATTCTGTACATCTATAATCTATAATTATAACTATACTTGTGCAGATCTTTTATGCTAATTTACTCCGTGTAAATACATGAACATTTCAAAATAGCCAAAATCTCCACTCATGCAGTTATCTGTTGTGTTAGCTTGTTTACTGTAAACACATTTTCAGTGTATGTAACCTTAACCCTAATTTATGGTGACAGGTGTTTCTGAACAGTGTTGAATAACAGGTGAGCGATGCAGGCCCATTGGCCTCTTGTTTGTGTTTCTCTTTAATATAGTAGTCATACTGCTATGCCTCAGTATTATTTATAATTTCTTTTTGTTTAAGATTCCTGTTGCCAAATTCCACGAACTACGATACAACGTTGCATTTGTTCTTAAAGAAATGGAAGACTTAGAAAAACGAAGTATTCTAAAGATAAAAGACTAATGTTTTCTGGATAGTAATATGAACACATGTGTATGCAAACTTCTTTGTGAAACTGCAGTATATATCATGTCAACACATTGTCTATTGCATGTTGGAAGGATATAGGCTTCTTTACAAATGTTATGTTTTAGAGTCATCTCCATTAAGGATATATGCTACCTTACACATTATATCTGTTATTTTGTGTCAGAGTTAAGGATATATGCTACCATACACAGTATAGCTGTTATTTTGTGTCAGAGTTAAGGATACATGCTACCTCACACATTATAGTTGTTATTTTGTGTCAGAGTTAAGGATATATATGCTACCTCACACATTATATCTGTTATTTTGTGTCAGAGTTAAGGATATATGCTACCATACACATTATAGCTGTTAGATTGTGTCAGAGTTAAGGATATATGCTACCTCACACATTATATCTGTTATTTTGTGTCAGAGTTAAGGATATATGCTACCTTACACATTATATCTGTTATTTGAGTCTGAGTTAAGGATATAATAATGTCACCTAACACCTTAAACTCGAGTTAAGGATACAAGGGTACACATGATACCCTTGACCTGTGTTAGATTGTCTTCGCTAAGGATGTATGTTACCTGCTTCCACATTATACCTGTGAATTGCGTTAAGAATTATTTACCTTTCAGGTAATATTCGACTTCGCATTATCTCCCTTAATTATTTGTTTTCAATTTGTGTAATCTAATATAAGTGTTATTAGTAAATGTATTTTTATATCATTAATGTAATATTAATTATCAAAGAACAAGTAACCTGTCATAATAAGTATTTTTCAATATTTCTTAGAATTGTACACATTCTGAAAATAAATGTTGCAGTAGGCACTAGATAAGGGTAAATACAAGACACCTGTGTTGTTAACTTTATAAACATTATTGGTGAAAACTTGTTAGTAGATTCCTGATTAAATATGGACCAAATTGAAAGAATACGTGTACATGTATATCCATAGCTAACCTAAAATATGTATCCAAATATAACCTGTGATATTGATCTCGGCTTCCCCTTGGTTGATATCACCTTTTCAGAAGTCAATAGTTGTTAATATATATCACAAGAATAGTCTGATCTTCAGCAAACTCTTACCTCTTCCATTAATGAAATTACGGTAATCAAATTATCCACATAATGGCATCAAAGTTGACAGTGTTTTGACTTAATGATTTGTTACTGAAAATCACTTTATTTTCATGTGTAAGTTATTTAGCAAACTAGTAAAGCATTTTTTTCTAAAATATACTTGAATTCACTATTACAATATCTATTGCACTTATCATTGGAATTAAAAGATGATTTAAGTAAAGGTATGATTTCCCTCACAAATTACGATGAAATTCATTTCTAACAAAAAATATAGTGATTTACCAAAATAATTATTCGGCCAAAGTAACTTTGAAACTATTCTGTATTATTTAAAAAAAAGATATCTTAGCTGGTGGCATCTGTGAAATTCTGACCATTTTAAATTGAATATAGTGAAATGTGTTGCCAAAAACCTACAGGAATGTTTAACTCTTCATGATTATGTTTGGGGATGTAGCACTTAAATATTGTGTCCTGTATGTTACTGGCAACCTTGAACTGTACAATTATTACAGAGCTTACCTACTGCAGTAGACAGTCATGTTTACCTCCCTTTGAAAAACTGACCGACTCTACAGTAAATACTTGTTTAGTTACAGGGGGCTTGTCCACTTATGTAATAAAATTTATTTTACTATGTGGAGTGTTTTTGTCATTATTTGGCAATAATTTAATCTTGCTTGTAACAAGCATTTTCATTGGCTTAACAAATTATGTTATCGGCCCATAACGTAAAAAAAGTATGTCGCCGTTTATAACGTCGCTTTTGATTGGCTTATACAGCGGCGTAATAATTTGTAAGAGAAAAGATTCCACCAATAAAAGTGGATTCCCACAGGGAATGTGTATAGTAGATTAAATTATAAGGATTGACTTGAATATAATTTATTGAAAATATATTCAAGTTAATTCTTAACAAAATGTCCACCTTGGTCACAAATTGGTGGAGACATTTACAAATTTATGCTCAACTTCCCAAATCTTAAGTGAGCTTCCTTAATGAATTTTACATATTTAGAAACCACCGATAGTTATATATTTGGAAACCACCGATAGTTATATATTTGGAAACCAACGATAGTTATATATTTAGAAACCACCGATAGTTACATATTTAGAAACCATCGATAATTCCATATTAAGAAACGACCGATAGTTCTATATTTGGAAACCAACGATAGTTGTATATTTGGAAACCACCGATAGCTCTCTATTTGGAAACCATCGATAGTTCTATATTTAGAAACAACCGATAGTTCTATATTTGGAAACCACCGATAGTTCTATATTTGGAAACCACCGATAGTTCTATATTTAGAAACCACCGATTGTTATATATTTGGAAACTACCGATAGTTCTATATTTTGAAACCACCGATAGTTATATATTTGATCCAAGAGTAATACAAATGATGGTGGCTGTTGAATTAGGCTGAGGAAACAGAAGTCTCTGAAACAAACTGAGACAGAGAGTTGTAAAACATATCTGCATATAATCCGATTTTCATTTGAAAATGTGATAAATTATTAGTAGTAAAATCCATAGTTAAAATTAACCCTATATACACTTCCTGGTGAATTAAAAGTCATTGGAAGCTAGATAGTTTAAATGCCACCAGTACTGGTGTTGGTGTTGACTGTGTATCGTGGTTCTTTCCCAGAAGCTTGATAGTTTAACTGCCACCAGTGCTGGAGTTGGGGTTGATTGTGTATCGGGGTTCTTTCCCAGAAGCTTGATAGTTTAACTGCCACCAGTGCTGGTGTTGGTGTTGATTGTGTATCGTGGTTCTTTCCCAGTAGCTTGATAGTTTAACTGCCACCAGTGCTGGAGTTGGTGTTGATTGTGTATCGTGGTTCTTTCCCAGAAGCTTGATAGTTTAACTGCCACCAGTGCTGGATGTTGAGTGAAGATTTGGAATGGTTTACCCTATCTTTTATCATGATGCATGCAGCATACATGTATGTGCTATTTTAATTCCACAAAAATGCAAAATGTATTCTTCTTCCGCGGACACGAATTCCGCTCCCTCCGAATATCCCGTCACGTCCAAAAAGTGGTGCCGACCATGTGGGAAGTACGGAACCTATCCACGTCTGCCTCCTTGTATATCTACAGTTCGTAGTTCATTATATCGGTCACCATACAAATCACTTCGGACCAAACAGATGCAAGAAGGAAGATGATGTTTGTTTTCAGGATAATGTCAAGGAAGGGAAGGACATTGAGGAGGCTACAGGCAGCGACAATACAATCGAAGAAATCATAAACTTGTTATTGCATATAGCAAGGACGTTTGCTGCTGAAGACGTAATTGACGGTGTGATGGTGGCGTCCGTTAGCAGACAAACCAAACAAGGAATCGGATAGGAAGTAAAATACGCTAACTAGATTGTGCACGCCAGCTTTTGTTCGAGAATGCGCGGGAAAGATTACTTATTCCACGGGAAACTACAAAAATATTGGGGAACAGACTCAAAAAGCTGTGGTGCGAATTTTTTCTCCTAGAACCTTTTAAATTAACTTCGCTCCCGATGAAAAGTCACTGGGGTCTTAGGATCCCTACGTGGTAGAAATCGAAAATGTGACAAGTGTGTACATATGAGCATTATTGGTGGTTAAAGCAAAGTTTTTAATTAATTTTGTATCATTTAATTTCATGGAAAGGAACTCAAGGATGGATTACAGGATGATTCTGGAGACATCGACCTTCTCGAAAATGAAGATGGTTTTACTTTGAAAATAAAACGCAAAGAGCCTATAGGGTATGTCACACTGAAATCGAATCCGCTATTTCGCAGGTCTAGAGGGTTCTTTGGTTTCATTGGAATATTGCATGCGGGTTGTTGGGTCAAACTCTCTTACAATATCACAACCATGACAAAGTGAAACGTTTGTTAAAGGAAATCTGTTTTCTTCAATTTAATGAAAGAATACCTGCTGTCAACTGCAGCACACTTCTATCTAAATGAAGTTGCAAGACTATCATTCCTACTGTACTGTCTCTGTCCTCCTCTAACCTCCTCGATCTTCTTTCCATCATCATCATCATCAACCTGAAAACGAACGTCATCTTCTTGTGTCTGTCGCTAAATGGCGACTGATGACCTCCTTGTTGCAACAAAGCATGTGCAGAGCACATCGTAATCTGTTTGGTCTTCATGGATATTTTATGGTGACCAAAATGACAGACCTTTAATTGGAAATGTAAAGGGAGGAAGATGTGAATGGCTTCTTTTGAATTCCCCACCTGATCGACATGTCCTCATCACAGAAATTGAAATATGTAACTCATAATACATATATATAAGTAGCATTATATTTCGTAATCATTGGAAAGAAATCATCTGCCATTTCATCCTTGTTTGGTATCATTTCAGATAAAACACAAAACAAAACGGTACTGTTGTCAGTGAGAGTCGATTGGCTATACATTCTGATATAACAGGAGAAAGAGAAACGCACTGCCGGACTGGGGTTCTAACTCGGGACCTTTCGAACTCCACACGGACGCTCTATCAATATTGAGCTACTTGTTCGCTGATGATCGATCAAGTCCAGTTCTGCTACATTTCTTTTTCTCAGTCTCGCCCCCTTAAGACACAACTATTCACAACCCAGATTCGGGTATGTCCTTGTCACACATTCACCCAGTGCTTGGAAATAATGGTTGGCCAAGCTCATCAATTTTGTAACAGGAGAAAGAGAAAGACACAGCCGGGGCGGAGTTCAAACCCAAGACCCTCCGAACTCTATACTAACCCTCTACCCGTTGAGCTATTTGGTCGGCGATGGTCGACCCAGTCCATCTCCGCTACACTAACACTGTTATATATACGAGATATTCTCACATTATGGTGTTGTTGTTGTTGAGTTCCGAGAGACTGGAGCAGACGACTACAATGGCACGAAAGCCTGTTGATGTTAACTGTTATGTTGTTTTCCTATTGAAGGAAAAGTGTTCTATTTTGGTCAGCTGATAATAAAGGTGATACTCCCGCAGAGCATGTATGAATCAAAACATGTACAGGCAGTGATGCCAGGTAGTGTTAATAATGTGATAATGATTGCTTACAGATGATGGTGATTCTGCATCTTGTGACATCCTTGACTTGTAGTCCGTCACTGCTGTCATTCTAGTCGCGAAGCCTCATTTGACGTTATCAGGTGATGGCCAGCCCTCTTCAGATGTTTCGACCCTTAATCACTACATCCTCCGGCTGGTGGGTCAGTAGTGGTGGCCAAACCACTACTCGTCTATGTCGGCTTCCACATCGGCTCATCTCGTTTGTGCCATAGCCAGCACGATGCTCTCTCTGCAGCTTCTCCCAATCGTCTGATGGCGGTAGCTCTTGCCCTCCCAGTGAGTCCTATTGACCGTAGTGTCCTCCACACTGACTGTGCGGGGAAACCTCTACAGCCAACCTCCACTGGAAAGAGCCATACTGTCCATCCTCTGCTCCTGCACTTTTCCATCAGCTCATCATACTTGGCTTTCTTCCTCTCGTGAGCTTCCTCGCAGCCTTCCTCCCATGGTACGGTGAGCTCTATGGCGATGAGGTGTCTGGATTGCTCTGTCCAGATTACCATGTCAGGCCTCAGTGTTGTTTCCACTATTCCTGGAAACACAAGCTTCCTGTCAAGGTCAACCTTCATCTCCCATGTTGACGCCCGTTCAAAGATGGATGAGGTGCTTCGAGGCTTCACTGTGGCTTTCTCCCCTGGTTTCACAAACTTGATACCAGCCTGGTTTGTTCTTACACCAGTTCTTTTCTTCCTTCTCTCCACTTCAAGGATATCCGCTAGGACCCGCAAGACGTTGTCGTGCCTCCATCGGTATCTACCCTGTCGTAGTGCTTCTTTGCAACCAGACAAGATATGAGCCATTGTTCCTCTTCCTCCGCATAGCTTGCAGCAAGGATCCTCCGTCAATCCCCACTGATGCAGGTTAACAGGAGATGGTAGCGTGTCATACACGGATCGTAGCAGAAATGATATCCGGAAGGGCTCCATTCTCCATATTTCAGCCCACGTCATCTTCCTCTCTGGGAGATTCCATCTGGTCCACGCACCCTGTTTGCTGAGTTCTACAGATTTCCCTCTCCTCCTTTCCTCCTCAATCCTTCTGATTTCTTTCTGCACCATTTGCCGTCTTTCTTGGGTATTTGCTTTCTCCCACTGCTGGAAATGAGAGAAGCCAACTCCTTGTCTTCCGACGCAGGTATTCCCGATGATATCCTTCAACTCGAGCATACTCTCTGCTTCACCAACTGCAGTGCCTGCTGACCACTTTCTCCCTGTTCTTGTCTGTATCCCTGCCTCGCTGATTTTCACGTCTTTGGAGTCCCTCAGAGTCATCACCAGCCTGCATTTTGCTACCTTGAACTCTTCAACGAAAATAATAAATATAGGAAGCATTTCAAAATGTCCACGAAGTGAATAATGTATTACATATATATACGTCTCTGGTAAACCCTAAATGACTTAAAGTTACGGAGAATAAATAAAGCTCGGCGACAGTTCGGTGGTGTCACAGCCTATAGTATGGTATTATTTTGAATTACAGACGTTTTGCCCTAAAACCGTTTCGCCCAAGATCACGCCCCAACTTTATTTTACATCTCCCCAATTTTCAGTTCATTTCGCCCAAAGTATGACAACCATAACGCCCCAAAATTATTTACCGCCACAACCGCTACGAACCTATATTGAACGAGTCCTGATCGTATGAAAGTGGCAGTAATTATTGCCAGTTTCACTCAATTGGCATTCACTTTTGTTTTAATTTTCATGTAATGGTTTTTAGAATATTTTTGTTTGGATGAGTTATCAGTTTGCGAATTGATGAAAGAGATCGTCAGTCAATTTGTGAAAAATAAAAGATATGCCGATTTATGTTCCATTACATAATAAGCATTTTTGCCCGGACTTCATCAGTTAAGAAGCAAACATAGTGTTCTTATCCTTAACATTTGTGGTATCAGCATAAATATCAGCTATTATACGTCTCCAGTAGAATGTTACTTGGCAGAGCACGATTGATTTTTTATAGTTATTTTTTTTAAATTTGTTAATAAAAATAAAAATAATACTCATGTGGAAAAAGAAGTAGATCTATATACAAATATAAGTACACACTCTCTTTTGCAACACATGTAACAAAATGATTTTTTTTTTCGATCGACGGCACGCGTGTATACAATCTAATTATCTTTAAAATACACTTATTATATTATCTAAAATATAGAAATACATGCCAAACATACATACTATAGATATGGTAAGTTATCGATCTACGGCACAATAATTCTGTCATAAACATCAAACGAATTGCAACAGATCTGATTTTTAGCTCACCTGGCACGAAGTGCCAAGTGAGCTTATGCCGTGGCGCGGCGTCCGTCGTCCGTCCTCGTCCGTCAACTTTTCCTTTAAACAACTTCTTCTGAAGAACGGACAGGCCTAGAGTCATGATATTTGGCTGAAAGCTTCGTTGGTAGGAGCCCTACAAAGTTTGAGAACGAAAATGACCTTGACCTGTTTTCAAGGTCACAGGGGTCAAATATGTCAAAAACTTCAAACGACTTCTTCTGAAGAACTAAAAGGTATAGAATCTTCATATTTGGCTGATGGCTTCCTGGGATGGAGCCCAACAAAGTTTGAGAATGAAAATTACCTTGACCTTCTTTCAAGGTCACAGGAGTCAAATGTGTCAAAAGCTTCAAAAGACTTCTTCTGAAGAACTGAAAGATGTAGAATCTTTATTTTTCATTGATGGCCTCCTCGGATAGAGCCCGACACAGTTTGAGAATGAAAATGACCTTGACCTTCTTTCAAGGTCACAGG